AGGCTAAGCGACGCTAACTAGTATTGGCTCCCGCAAGGTCCGGGAGTTTGAAGATCTTCAACCTTATTAACGGTTTCTTCACTTCGTACTACAAGTTGGTCCATTGATAAGGTATCTCTTCTTTAATTTAACTTCGGCAATTTGGAAAAGAAAGCATAATGCGTTATGGGGAGTAACCCTCGTCCCTTCATAGGATGGCAACTACATACATAACCTTACTGCATGTAGCACAAGATGTTAAACTGATGGTCAAGAGCATGATATACAGGTATCTCGAGAGTAAAACATTGCAACGACAAATGGTATCTTATTAAAACAATAATACACGAAGAAAAGAATCTCTAAAGTTTTTATACACGTTCCCAATTCTCTCACACCCTTAACCATCAACCACTTATTTCACCCCTCGCAATCCTTCCCTCTCTCCATTCCTCCTCATATGTTTTTCCTCCAAAGATTCTCCTCCTTTCCGGTTTCTCGCCCTTCTCATTCTTACGTCCACTCCTACTCGCTTCCCTTCCTCCAACCCCTCCCAATATCGCCCCCCCTAATGTTCCTAACCCAGGCATTATCAAATCTCCAATCAAACCCCCACCAAATGCACCAAAAAATGTATTTCTATCTTTATGAGTATTCCGAGCTCGAGTCTTGGATGCTCGTGAGTGTGTATGTGAATGTCTATGATGAGATCGACTCATAGATCTTGTCGATCGAGCTCGCGAATGTGAATGAGCTCGATTTCTCGATCGTGATCGCGATCTTTCTGAGGAAGATCTTGAACGTCCGCGGTGATGATAGCCGGGGATGTGTTGAGCGAGATAATGGGGATCGGGTGGTTCAGATATAGAACGTCGGGGTCGAAGATGAGGGGGGAGGTTTCGATAAGAGTGTGGTTCTATGGCCTGGTATTGATGACGTTCATCCCTTTGATGAGACTGTTGAGTCGGAGTTTGATACCCGTAAGCTGGGGGTTGAGTAGAATTGTAGTCCATAGCTTGTGGCGGAGGTGGATAATATGGTTGTTGTTGTGAATAACTTTGAGGATTGTAGACAGCAGGAGTCGGATATGCTGATCGTTCATTCATTGCAATATCATGTTGTGCTTGTTGATGATATGCCGATGTAGGATATTCAGCAGTTGGTTTCAGTATACCTGGACCTGGTATTGCTTGTGAAGAGGGATTGTAATATTCATGTGCCGCCATCGTGATAGTTGAAGTTAGATTTTCTCATCTATCTTGATTCTATTCTCAGGTTATTTTGGGAATTTTACGACTTTAACATAAATACCGTTCTTCAACTCATACACCATGGCTGCACGTAAATGTTTATCACGAGGCTCAGCGAATCAAATCGACGTCACCATACATGAAGCCAAGAAATATTATACTCTGCCTGATTAAGTTTACGTCACAAATAAGACTGGAGATGGTGAATATTTCAGAAGTGTAATGTGGTGCTGATGTCTTGGAATACGGATATCGCTTGCCGAGAAGAAGACAAGAGGGAATGGAGACGCAAGGCTGGCAAGTTTACCATGGGTTGCGGGGTAAGTAATATTGCTCGAATTTGGAAAACAATCACGGAGTGATTATAGAACCAATAGCATACAGATATAATGAATACTTCCTAGTAAGGTAGTGGCGGCATTCCCATTTCTGTGCATTTGCGGCAACCGATCATCCTGACCAGCCTGGTGATCAACGCTTAGAATACTTCTAGAAGAATATAATCCTTGCTCCCGCATAGGCCGAGACTTGTGTCTCCACACCAAGGCACTGTTTAGAGAACTGCCATGTATCTTGAATCTGGATGTCTTGCCGGGCACCGGTTAGATGTGTATCTTCTGTCGAATTTGGTATCTTCTGCATTCACATTGATATTAGCACGGCACTATTTATTGTGACTTCCGCACCGACATTTCTTCAGGAAAATCTGGATCTTCGTAGACGCTAGCACTGGATACTTATATACCTTTATTCTAATCTCATACACTTTTCCATTGTTGTAGTCATCATCGATCTCCTAACATCAGCAAGTATCGTACCCCGTTCTTACTGAATGTCAAGCAAACCGTCTTCTTTTGACCACACTAGTCGAACATTTATCAGCTCGTAAACGGTTGGCTCCGTATTGTTTCAATCATCCGTAGCACCTCGTACTCCATCGTACTCCATCGAACCTTTTTTTCTCCATCTCGCCATTTACCACCAACTGTCTTAAGCTGTTCGCAAAAGCATATTCCTTCTCTCGCTCGGGTATTCGTATTTTGGATGGATCTAATGGGTCAAAGCCAAGCTATTTGAGCCCTATAATGTCGGTATCTCGACGAACAATTACTCTTTTTCGATATCAATCCATCAGTATAAAAGCCGTATTCACTAAGATACTCTTTTAAGCAGCATCAATCGAGATAGATCATAATCCCATCGCCCATATAGACGTCATTTTTGAACGATATAGTATTGTCAATGTATTTTGACAATGCTTGATGGAGACGGTATCCGATACCTTGAGCTGGATTGAGTTCCGGTATGCAAGTAGAGGTGTTCTATTAATAACAATAAAAGGTTTTGTATTGCCGATTATTTTCTGACCTTCTCCTCGGCCATTCCTGTTTCGCTATTTTGATATGAGAACCAAGGTCAACAATCATATAGAGTAGGTTCGAAGTCTTAAAGTTAAACTATGAAACATCAGCTAGTGAATTGGTGATAACTGTAAATCCAATGACGATTTAAGATGCCATTAACTTTAAATACTGGACATTGACATTGTCAATGCATGGCCTGTGTCTTGACAGCGTACGAATTTGAATTTTGTCCTTCCATGATGTTGTGCCGAAATATTATGACCAAAGTGTAGATGAAAAACTTGTAGGGTGAAGCTGCACAACCAACTCTTTTGAGTAGAAAGAGTAGCAATATATTGATATCAACCTTGATGAGCCCACTAGATTTCAATCTAATATATAGTAAAGAATGACCGCAGTAATTAATAGAGATCAAATAACTGAGAAACTTACTTAAACCTTGTACGAGAAGCTCGTTCCAGATCAGTCTTCTGCAGTTCATTTCAAGATTTTAGTTGGGGTTTTGAAGATACTATTGTCGACTTCAGACATTCATATTTTCTACCAATTAGATAACAGAACTATGTGCACCTGTGAAATGATGTAAATATTTATTGGAAGAAGTTGAATATTCCAAATCTTTTGATTGTTGGACTACAGTCCGAACTATGACAGTCTGCCCGAGGTTCAGATTAGTCTATTCGTGAAGACATCTATAATATAAATCAATTTTATGGACCATATTACAAGTCAGATCAATGGAATAACCCTAAACATCAAATGAACTTCATTCTATTTGGACGCGCTAGCTCCAGTCTTTCACAGTTTTTAGTTCAAGGCTGATTGTTGCATTTCCACTTGGTCATCGGGTACGTATGATTGTACAGTTGCTTTTAAGAACAAGACAGTGTCTTTCGAGACAGCGAAGATGACGAAGTCAGTCATTTGACGATGAAATGTATTGGCCCCAAGTCAATTTAACGCGAAACGGGTTTCTGATGCCCTGACAATAGGATTGCTAGAGACAATGGATGAAGTAGAATCGAGATGATTGTAAAGCTCAATAGAAATGGAAAGCTCGCATATCTCAAGGTAGAAGCAAATAACAAGTAGCAATCACTAGCATTAACATTGACCTTTCTAGCACTAGAGCACAGAAAATGAGAGGCGCTCGCTATTGAATCAAGTTCAATCAACAATATTGAAACTATTTCAGGATAAAAAGTCTCTCAAGAACAACAATGCCATTTCAAGTGAGAATCATGTAGCGATTTAGAAGGCTTCTAGAAGCATTTAGGTGGAGTCGTTCTGCCGTTCCAGCGGGGTTGTAACTCAGCTCCACTGGGAAAGCTTCGACCAACCAATTCGCTTAACCATGAAGCTTGTATTTGTTAATGGTATAGATATTCAAATGCAGCCCCCAATTGTACAAATAGGCCTGATAGTTCAGTGGTAGAATTCTTGCTTTGGGTTTCCAAATCTAAATTGTAAGAGGTCTCCGGTTCGATCCCGGATTAGGCCCATCCCAATATTCTTTTGCTTTTGAAGATGCTCTGTCGAGTGGGAAGGAAAACTGTGCAAATATTTTGACCCTCTAAGTGGTCCCGTAGAGCACTACTAGATCCTTTTTGCATATTCTGCAGAGTAGATGGAGTCGACGGATAACAAATACATAGACAAATTCATGGTGACATTTTGATACCAGCCTACGTCTATTGGGAATGCAAACACACTACTGCAGCGGAATGTAGGATGGATTAGTAGAAATGTAATTTTAATCATACGAGGTGGTCGCTATTGTTCACTGATTTGTCGTGAAGTGTGAATCGTCTATGTGTTATCCTTTTAGCTATTTGACAAGATAGTCATTGTATTGTAGACGTGTGTCAGGTTATATCAGGCGTGTAACTTACACCCTCTTGATACGGGAGATGGTCTTGCCTACACAAGATCTATATGAGAAGAGTACATCCAACTATTATAGGACCAACGCATGGCGATTCAAGGAGAAAACTTCGAAGATTTTGCTCTCCTCATATAGCATTAATATATTACCGGTTAAGCCATACCCTATTATCAAATGAAGCAAATTGCTTCCTAAACTCGGGCATGTTGCCAGAGTGGTTAATGGGTAAGACTTGAATGAATAATTCGGTTATCTTATGGTTTCGGCCTCGTAGGTTCAAATCCTGCACATGTCGTTTTGGCAGTTTAATTTCTATTTGCTGTTGTTTCCTGGAACGAAGTCTCTTTTTGAATTCGCTTTGATTGTCTGTTATTTTCCTGCGTGCTCCAAAGGAAAAAGTTCTACTCATTTTATTAATGTGGAGATTTTATGGGTGATGAAAATTATTTTGTCTTTACTTTTTTTGATGGGTAAAATATTAGTTGACTCGATTCACCACCCCCACCATAGGTCCCCCAAAGCCACCCCTCTAAGATTTCAATTCACTACAACTCCTTCAATTTCATTATACTCAAGTAGTTTAGAATCAAAATGTTCCTCATGGAAAGGGCAAAAAGAAATTGACTACTACGAGAATTAGACTCTTTGCCAGAAAACGATTTGCCGGTTCACATATATCCGGAGTCGACCGAATGTAATCCCCAATGAACAAAATTGTTGATGATCACTTCAAGTATCAAACTCTCCCCAGAAAGATTGGCGTGTTTCAACACAACAACACCAGACTTTATTTACATAAAATAAACCCTGGAGGTCAACATGAGCATCAAAAGATGACAAAATTGATCACTGGCGGTTTCGAACCGCCGACCTTGGCGTGCCAAACCTATCTAATGAATCAGATGAGATATTAGCACCACGCTCTAACCAACTGAGCTAAGCGACCGAATTATTGGTTGATTTAATGGAAGATTGGACATCAGGAAAGTATATGTACAAAACACCAAAGAAGCCATAAAGAAGAGATGAGAGAGGGGTGGAGGTGGTGTGGGGACAAGTAGTTGATGGAGAGTGAGTGAACGTAGATGAAAGTGTTGATGTAATGGAAATGAGACTCACCTGAAGGCCTCTTCGCATTACCCTGAAATCCAATTGTCCATACATCAGCCACCATAGACAAAGAAGTTTTTTCACTTACACAGAATGAAAACCAAAATGATGCGAACAGCTAGACAGATGTTCATGATGAAGGGTAATATCCATTTTTGAATAACTGCTATTGCAGCAAAAGCAGATCAACAATAATGATACATGCTTCGTCACATACAATAGAGAGAGAATGCTCCCCAAGATGGAGCCCCAATAAGCAAAGAGTAGTAAACAGACGCTCCAAAATGCAAATTCGTATTCATCCTATTCCATTCCAAACCCAGTGTGCGCACTTGTGTGATACCCTATGCGCCAATGATATTTCCGTTCAACACTGTATAGAAGAAGAATAAATGATGAGTGAAACTTTCACTTTTTGGCCTTTCTGCCACGCTTCTTTGGCTCTGCCTTTTTCTCCTCTGGCTCTGCTTTTGCTTGATCCCTTTTTTCTTCCTCCTCGTTTGGTTCTTCTGACTTTGGCTTCTCTGAAGTTGGTTCCTCATTTTTGGATTTCTTTGCCGCAGGCTTCTTTTCTTCTTCAGTCGCTTCATCATCTTCATCCGCTGCCTCATCACTAACGTTTTTTCTCTTCTCTGCTGCGGGCTTTGGATCTAACTTTTCTTGCTGTCGAGCGCTACTTCGCGTTCCTTGTCTTTGTACCTTCTTTTCCTTCTTCGGGGCAGCTTGTTTCTTTTGAACGGGTGCCTTCTTCTCGACTTCTTTATCAGCTGTCTTGTCGTCCGATCCATTTGCTTCTTCATCAGCAGTTTCCTTGCCATGGCCATTCTTCTCCTTCTCGGAATCTTTCAATTCAGCAGCTTTCTCCTCCTCGGATTTCTTCTCAGGTGTTCCTTTCGTGGGTTTGTCTTTAGATCCGGGTTCATTTTCGTAATCACCTCCTTCAGCTTCATATTCTTGACCGATCTTTTTGGCCTGAAGTGATGGTGTGTAATTAGTATATGGCACCACGTAAGAAGAGTTTGAGATGAAAATAATGATAGTTGAAACCTCAGAATACTGGTTGCTGTGGGATCAGATGACTTACCTTCCATGCAGCCATCTTTCCTTTACCACTACCATCTTTATTCGTTTCTTGCTTGACTTCTGTTTTGGTAGATGTTAAGAAAGGATCGGACACAATCAAAGGTAAGGGAGATTTCAAAGGGGTCGCGGGATCACGAGGGGGAAAATGAAAAGAAAGTTCTTTACTTTCAGTAATGTCCTTCTTGAGCTTGGGATCAGTTGGCTTCCCTTTAGCAGAAGGCATATTTGCGATGGCGGTGATATGAATCCAAAGTTTTATATAGAGAAATTGTCAATGATAAAATGCGATGAATGGGAATTGTATGCACATGAAAATATCCTTAATTTTAATTACAGATAAGAGATAGATGGAATTTTGTGTAAAAGGCATAAACAATGAGATGGAGAAAGAGCGAGGTTGGGAAAGAGGAGAACCAAAATCAATGTCGTCAGCGTATCACGCCTGCACCTGCAAGGGATAAATCTAATAGGGGCTAAATATAGGCTGGCGTTTGTTTTAACGACGTGATGGGATTGTGTGCGGTCCAATAACCGATTCATGCTAATAAGTCAGATACAACTTGTTACTTGTGCAAATTATTTACAAGCAAGTAAAGAGAAACGTGAATTGCTTTGCTCAGATGTTCTCTACCAAGTACAATCAAGTATCAATGGTTGAGCCATGGATGTTCCTGTGTTTGACATTGAACAGATGGACTGAAGCCTAGTACCTTCCACCACCATTCCTCACTGGGTTCAACTCAAAATGCTTGAATTAGACGGGAGTTTGAAGTTACTAGAGGGTAGATGGACTCCCCTCATTGACGTAGGCCGCCCACGCCTGAGGTCAATTAGTTGGAAGGGCTCTGATCATCGAATCGCTGCCAAATTTTGTTCCTCTAGTGAGAAACTCCTACTGGATTAGATCGATTTTTTCACTCATATGATGTTCAAAAATGAATTTCATACACGGACGCGATTGTGAAAAGTATGATGACATTCATTGATACGAGTATCTTACAATGTGCCAATCTTCCCCCCTCACTCTACTTCTGGATCTCATTCTCACTCTGTTGATCAATAACACGTTAACAAAGTGGTGGCATACCGGCCCTAGATGCCGAGAAACATTTGTGGTAAAAGGGAGCACTGGAGTATAAGTAAGATGGCAATACCAGAGAAATCTGCCATGGAATCGAGGTGCACTGCATGAGATGTACTAGATAATTGAATTGCGATGGCTATATGTGTTTACTGACCTAGTGGTTCAGAGAAGCTCTCCTCGCATGATGACCACACTTATTTCTACTTCCAGAGTTCTCTGGCAATTTTCATTACCTTTAGTTTGATGAAAGTTTGTTGAGCTACACATCACATCACATTAGACAAAGGGGAATGCATTTGGAACGTGCTGGGTAGGTATATTATGATTCTTAATGGCCCTCCCAGGATAAATATTCATAGAAAATCATTCACTAAAAACAGTGTTATGAGTTTCTATCCCACCCCATACCTCACTATGAGAATACCAGATTAGATTGAAAAACAATTCCAAGCGCCTCGGCACGGTACGACGCGTCTCTAACAATATTGACGCGTACAACACTTTAGTCTGTGATTGATATTTATATCTAAACAACTCTGATGGTACAACTTCGAGTACGGCAAAGGAAAAAGTAACATCAAGAACTTGTTAATCCACACAAGATGACGCATCGACTTCATTCCGAGTCTGCAAAGAAAAGGATGTCAACGGTCAAGAATGTCAAGCCAAAGCCATCTTACGAAGAGTAGGTTCTCTCAACATTGTCTTGTACATTAGAATATCACATCTAACAAAAGTCCAACAGCATGCTCGATAGTCCCATAATAGACCTCTACATCGGACCCAAACGCAAGAAATTCAGCATCCACCGCGGACTCCTCTGCGCCAAATCCCCCTTCTTCGCAAACATCTTCCTAAACAATGATGAACTCAGCGAAGAAAAAGAAGACCACTATCTACCCAAAATTAGCCCGGAACATTTCTCCATCATCATGAAATGGCTATATCGCGGTAGTCTGGACGCCGGATTCGAGAACGAAGGAAATAAACCAAGTTGTGCAGCAATAGAAGTCTACGCCTTGGCGCATCAATTGGGAATGACAGAGATGATGAATAAAGTGTTGACCGGATTAGGAAGAAGATATGTGGAGAAGAGGTTTACGCCGAATGTTTTTGCAATTGAGTTGGCGTTTGAGTTGACGGAACCGGTGGGCCCAAAAGATCGGGATTGTGGACTGAGGAGATGGATGGCAAGGTGGTATGCTATTATGCTACTTTTTCCAGAAGGAGTTTCGTCTACGGCGGGGAACAGTATCTCGGAGGATAGTTTGGCTGATTTAGGTTTGAGATTTCCGTCTCTGTACAAAAGTGTGGTTGGACTTTTAAGAGGGGCGGAAGGATGGAAGGATGTTAGGACTAAGTTCTATGACGAAAAAGTATGTTCTTTTCATGAGCATGAAGCTGGAGATAGAAGTTGTGAAGATGTTGGAAAGTTTTGGGGCATTTTCAGAAGTAAGGAGACCGAGGCTGGGTGGATGTCAGTGAGCAGAGGAAAAGTTTAAGAGGGATTTGTATGGATGTAGGTTTATGGTTTTTGACGGCGCATTGGGTGGGAGGATGGCGTACAAATTGATATCGAGCATGACACCCGTTTGGAGTTTGAGCATTGGATATGTAAGAGTTTGGGGTACGACTCCTACAAAAAATTAAGATACCATTTCCTTAAAATCCATTTGCCCAAATACAGTGAAGGTTACATATATAGATAGCTATATCAAATTTACGTCACCCAGTGTCTGTAGCCAAGTGGGGACTACAAAGATATGTTCCAATTCCAGATAGAAGTAGGCTTGCTTGGACGGCGCCGAAAGAAGCTTGTAAGTCAACTACGGTTTTTCTCGTAGATTCTTTTTGGGAGGAAGTATTTGACGCCTAGTGTTCGTCGCTCATATCAAATAGTGCTTGTTTGAAAAGACATGGAAGATTTTCACCAATTAGAAAAGCAAACAATGTCGTAAATCGTCCTTTGTTGGAAGTGCAAGCCTTGATCTATGAACAGGTGCATTATCCCACCGATATAGACTGCACAAACCGCACTGATATCAATCCCAAAAAGCGCAAAGAGGGGAGAGTTCCGCAGTCGCAGTAACACCACCAAATACAAAGTATCTCCATGTCGTAACATTTAGAAATTGACCACCACAAGCCAATTGATCACACATAATAGTTATGATCCATTGAATATCCTGCCTCCTCCCAAGCCGTAGTTCTTCACCTCTCCATCTCCTTTACTTCTTGGCTGGGTACTTGGTCTTGAAAAGGTACGAGCTAAAGTAATAATCTCCAACAGCCAAAGCACCCACAACACCAGCCCACGCACCCACGATCTTCCATGTCAACTCTCCCTTTGCGTATTTTGAATATGCTCCGAATCCCAATCCAGTGCTCAATGCTGCGACGGCGATCGCATTTCCAATCACGACTGGGTTATCACTGTTCTCTTGAACACGGCTCTTGCCCTTCTTTGATTTCTTGGAAGCGGCATCCTTTGCAGCGCGAAGCTTAGCCTCGATTTGTTCAGCTTCTTGCTCAAGACGGTTGGCTTGTGTCTCGGTTTGGACTGGTTGTGATTGGAAGTCTGAAGGAACAGTGTGCACGGAATCGGTGTCGACGTCAATTAAGGAGGAGGTGGAGGCACTTTCGGTGGGGATGACAGATGGTGGGGCAGGAGCACGTTTCTGTGGTGGGATGATTAGTTCTTGACCTGAATGAGTAGTAAATATCGTCGGAGGTAGAAGGGATTCCTTTGACGACGATGAGAAAGGAGACATGGGTTGAGAGGATACAAGTAAATGTAGAGGAGTTTAAGAGAAATTCAAACATACCTCCTCATCAGTCTGTTGTGGACCTGAAGCTGCTGCTTGTGCGTAAGACATCTTTTATATGATATGAGTAGGTATGATGGGTGGAAAGATGTAGGTGTAATGTAGGAATTTGCGGGTGTCTTTCGAGAGGATGTGAATATATCAAGATGGATGTTTTAAGTTGACGAGAAATAGAAGTATGGAAACGATAAAATGTCGTGTGCGAACAAGGGAAACCTTCATGTGAGAAACCGGGAAAGATTTCAATGAAGGTGTGGCTGTGGCTTGTGGATGTGGCTCAAGCTGGATCTTCTCGCTTAAAGTGGGTTTTTCATCTGTTGACGTAGGCGGCTCAAGTGGAATGAGAGAGATTCTAGAATCTAGACTCTCTCGACTCTAGATTCTGATATGGAACCACCTGCACTCACACATACAACGCAATCACCAACAAGGAAAATGTCATAGCACAAACCATACAAAATACATCTATATTTCAATATAAGTTGCCAGCGATATCGAAATGATAGTAATAGCAGTTTTGTATGTTCCCTTGTGACTAATTACTGAGTACTCTAAAGTGATAGAAGGCTCTTCTCATCAAAGCTTTCAAACTCGGGGAAACAAAGAATCACAACACTACATCCTGCATACTATACCTCCTATCTGCTACATAGGTACAAATGAACACCATTCAGACTATCATGAGGTGAGTTGAGTTTTCATATATCATACATACAGAATAACAAGAATGCCCAATGGTTTCGTCTTTTTTGGTATTACATTTGTACAATAAAATTACAGTCTAAAAGGACTTATTTCTTTGTTGTAGCATCGTGAGCAGCTCGTGGTAATAATTCTCCCCCCTCATCGCCAGAATTTTGTGTAGACTCAGGTGTTGTGCTGTTTCGGCTATCCCTATGTTTCTCTTCCGTTGATTCCGAATTGGACTCGATAGCTTTTTGGGTAGTTGGCTTCGCTGGCTCTGAATTTTCTTCAGGCTTCTTCTCGGATTTTTCTTCGGGTTTTCCTGATACTGCGGTCTTCTGAGACAACGGTTCCGAGCCACCTTCTTCTGATCCATTTGCCGCTTCTCTTGCTCTAAGCTCCTCCTCTATCTCATCCTCCTCGTTCTCCAATTCTGATGCATACATCTCTGGATGAGCTCGGAAGCAATCTTGCATTCCCCTAAACATTGTTAGTCCTGATCGATCGTCGATGTTCCAGACCCGCAGACTCACTTGAACTTTTCTATACATTCAACACCCTTTGGCTCTTCAGTGGAGTGAACGAAACAGCTAAACGCAGCTTTGAACTCCTCTCCACAAGGTCCATGTGCCATGCCTCCCAAACAAGGACAATCCCAATTGATTTCACCAGTTTCCGGATTGAATGCGCCTTGTTGGCCAGCTTCATCTTCAAGTCCTTCCATCTCTCCTTCCTCCTCAGCTCCACCTTCAGCAGCGACTGCTTTTGCGGCCGACTCGTGTTCCCTCTTCTCTTGTTCTGCTGCTAATTCTGCATGTCGCTTTCGCTTTTCTTCAATTACCGCATCGAGAGTGGGTAAATCTGATTCTCGAACTCTGTGTATTGATTCATCTAATTTTTGAATTGCTGTTGTGCCAATCAGCATCTCCTTGAGATTCGCCTCCTAGCTGCTAGTATTCTCATACCTTCTGGTTCTTCGGCGAAAACATTGCTCGTATTATACCAATATACTCCTGCACCTGCCAATGCCCATCTTGCAGCGCTGCTTTTCCAACTTCGGGACTTTTGTGAGGGTGGTGCTGTGCTTAAGAATCGTCGAGCAGAAGTGGTATTAATGACAGATTTAGACTGTGGTCGTGAGCATTTCGGCGCAACTCTCAAAACTGATTTGAACATGCTGGGCTAAATTCGAGAAAATGTCTGTGAAGATGAAAACACTCAAACGAAATATTAGGAATCTCAAAGAATAGCAGACTCGAATATGAACGCCGTGTTTGTAAGCATCTCTGGATTTTCCGAATCACCGATTCGAGAAAATATCTGGATCATGTGATTGATGATAAGATAAGATATTGTCGCAAAAGTGTAGGTTTCTTAACTTTCTCCTCCACCAAGCAGAATGTCTATGTGTTCTCTTACTTCCTTATTGTAGCCCCCCATGATAACAGCGTTAAGTAGTTTACACTGCTGGATATAGTCTATTTGTTTTCTTCTCTTTGCTAGGACTTTACAAGTTGAAAGGTTAATGGTCAAATTCGTCTCAGCATCTACACACCTTCCCCTAGAACCTTCACCAACGCAATAAAATCATGGGATCCCAAGATTTTGTCACTTGGCATCCTGCTGATATATTCTCTGATCATCCAGCCGATCATAAAGAGTTTGCGCTCATTGTCCTAAACCAGCCTCTGGAGCTGCCTTCTAACATCTACAAGAAGTTATGGGATAATGCTGTCTACCATATCGCAGCTGATGGTGGCGCAAACCAAGTTTATAACAGGAATCACAAAAATCCATTTGATGGAAATTCCTTAGACCCAGCCCTCCAGGATGAAAGAAAGGCTGAAACCCATCTTGACATTGATACTATCATTGGCGACTTCGACTCCATGTCTCCCAATCTCTTCAAATATTTTGAGGATGATGGCACCGAAATCATTAGGGACGGGGATCAGTATTCCACAGACTTCACCAAAGCAGTGCGATATGTTAAAAGTTTTGAGCAACCTTTTGGCTCGGAAAGGACTCCTCCATGTTCCCATCGTCAGAAGAAACTCGATCAACTCAAGCAATTGCCCAGACCTCTCGATATCATTTGCCTGGGAGGTTTAGGTGGAAGAGTTGATCAGGCTCTTTCACAACTTCATCATCTTTATATGTTTCAGCAAGAATCAAACTATTCCAAGGGCAAGATGTACCTGGTTTCTAGTGAAGCTATAACCTTTGTTCTCAAGGCTGGAAAACACAAAATAAAGATCAAGGAAGAGGGCAAATTGCTGAAATTGGGAAAACATATTGGAATATTACCGGTCAAGGAACCTTCGATCATAACCACGCAAGGCTTAGAGTGGGATGTAACAGATTGGAAGACAGAATTCGGAGGTGATATAAGTACCAGCAACCATGCGAGGGAGGATTGGGCGATCATTGAAACGACGAAGGATGTTGTATTCACCATCGATTTTGTTCTCAACAAGATGGATGAATAAGATCAACTTCGCCTGGACGAGCGATTCGATAATCTCGGGGCCTGAAATTAGAGGATTGAACATGATTCCACTGCCCACACTCTCGATTTGCCGAATACTCTTTAAGACGATTCTCGCAAAGCGGGATCAATCTTGTTTATGTTATCTACACCCCTCATTGTTCAGGGTGAGCAATGAGGCGAGACCAGTGTGCTTTAGTCTTAGGCGCTATTATTACCTACCTAGTATTAGTCTCACGCGCCTATATGCGCTTCTCCCAGATACCCGTCTTGTCCATTAGACTCCTAGAATATAAAGTCTTCCTTGTTGTATATTCTCGATTGCTTGTTTACCTTTGGTGACAAATTACTCCGTCACCATTTACTCTCCGAACAAAAGGTTTCTAGAGAATCTGTATTAATTGATTGAGTTAAAACCCAACTTGACAACAGTATTGAGTGTTTACACATATATAAATACATCTTTGGAATATTCTTCAATAATACTGTCAGACTGTACTTGATCCAATGTCTATCAGATCTCTCTTCTCTCGTTCTCCACGAAAAACCCCATGTTGCCAATGCCCATTGCCCCTCCCTAAACTATTCTTAGGTTAGCTCCTTCCGATAAGGTTAAGCCCACTATCCCGATAAGCATGCAACAACCAAATTTTTCTTCTTCCCAATATTTTTCCTTCAGAGTCATATTCGATTGATTCCAACCTTCACAACCCATATCCTTTTTATTCAATCTTCACCCTCGCTCTCTCATATATCCGCATATCTTCTCACAACCTCCTAACAATAATTCAAAATGGCTTCTACAGCTGCTGAGATTGAACCTCATAAGGTTTATGATACTATTCTCACTTTGGATTTTGGATCCCAATACACTCATCTTATTACTAGACGTCTGCGCGAACTCAATGTCTACTCTGAAATGCTTCCATGTACCCAAAAGCTTGCAGATCTCGAATGGAAGCCAAAAGGTATCATTTTGTCCGGAGGACCATACTCAGTTTATGAGGAGGGTGCACCACACGTTGACCCCGCATTCTTCGAACTTGGAGTTCCTATTCTCGGTATATGCTATGGAATGCAAGAGATTGCTTATAGAATTAGCAAAGACAATGTCATTGCTGGCACAGCCCGCGAATACGGACACGCTGATTTGAAAGCAAAGAAAATCGATAATGGACACGTCGACCAATTGTTCGCAGGATTAGAGGACGATGTTAAAGTCTGGATGAGTCATGGTGATAAGTTGGGCGCATTGCCAGATGGATTCCACACTATTGCTACAACTGCAAACTCTGAATACGCAGCAATTGCGCATGAGAGTCAACATATCTATGGTATGGGAATTTAGATCTATCTATTTGGAGAGTCTTTTCCCCCTGATCCAAAGCTAATCAAACTCTAGGTCTTCAATTCCACCCCGAAGTTACTCACACCGAGAATGGAATTCAACTCCTCAAGAACTTCGCCGTCGGTATCTGCGGAGCTCGAACAAACTGGACTATGGCAAAATTCGTGGATCAGGAGATCGCTAGAATCCGTACATTGGTTGGAGAGAAGGGTCAAGTCTTGGGTGCTGTCAGTGGAGGTGTTGATTCAACAGTCGCTGCGAAATTAATGCACGAGGCTATTGGAGACCGATTCCATGCCGTTCTCGTCAACAACGGTGTTATGAGATTGAATGAGTGCGAACAAGTACGAAAGACATTGACAGAAAATCTCGGCATCAATTTGATTGTCGCAGATGCATCTGAAGATTTCCTCGATGGCCTTGCCGGACTTGATGAGCCAGAAGCAAAGAGAAAATTCATTGGAGGAAAATTCATTGATGTTTTCGAAGCCGAAGCCAAAAAGATTGAAGACGCAGCAGCCAACTCTGACAAAGCAGGCAAGATTGAGTTCTTCTTGCAAGGAACATTATATCCAGATGTTATTGAAAGTATTTCATTCAAGGGCCCTTCCGCGACTATCAAAACTCATCACAACGTTGGTGGTCTTCCAAAACGCATGACAGAGGGTCAAGGACTCAAGCTTATCGAACCCTTGAGAGAATTGTTCAAGGATGAAGTTAGACAATTGGGAAGAGAGTTGGGCATTGCCCATGAACTAGTTATGCGTCATCCTTTCCCAGGTCCAGGTATTGCCATTCGTGTCTTGGGAGAAGTTACTCGGGAACGTGTCGAAATGGCCAGAAAGGCCGACCATATCTTTATCTCTATGATCAGAGAGGCGGGTCTCTATGACAACATTGGACAAGCTTTTGCAGCTGTTGATCCAAGTAGAGCTGTTGGTGTTATGGGTGACAAGAGAATGTATGGAAACATCATTATCCTGAGAGCAGTTCAAACAACCGATTTCATGACTGCCATCGCATATCCTTTCGAGAATGCATTCTTGTCCCGGGTTTCTACAAGAATTATCAACGAGGTCCACGGTGTTTGCAGAGTCGTGTATGATTACACTAGCAAGCCTCCTGGAACTATCGAGTTGGAATAAATATCAAGTTTTGTGTTTTCGGCGTTACCTTGGTACATGTATACCTTAAGATTATAGATACTCCAATCGGTGTTAAGAATGAAAAAAAAAAAAATAAGAAATCATAGTACAAGAATTCGAACACTATGTGAGTTTGTGATTGTGTATGATAGGCAGTCGATTTAAGATAAAGGAGCATGGATAATGAAGATATATTTTGGAGCAAACGTCTACATCTGCATCTGTATCTGTATCTAAAAGGAATCGATTCTACGTGTCGTTACCCGCTGGTTCTGCGGACAAATGAGCATGAAGGGTTATGATAGAAATCTTGGGCATATCGAATACTAGGACCTGAAGGTATTATTATGGCTTGAGGGAGATTTCACGTCCGACCAATCATGAAAACAGGAGACAGCTGGATCTACGGCTGAATGTACAGGTCTCAAGGTGTACCTAAGTAGGTAGGTAGGCACGAGCCCTCGTAAATACAGTCAATATGGATGGCCAGGATAACCTTGGAATTTCATGTTCACCAAATATAGACTCCGACGCATTGTCCCTAACTTCCAAGACGATGATATATTAAAGAATGATTACCTAATGTTTCAAGATAAAGTTCAATTATTATAGATACAAAACATGAAATCATATATTCATTCAGTCTTATCCTTGGTGAATGTTTGATTGTTTCCTTTCCATACATCTCCATTTTTTCCTATGCACAGCCTCCTCTCCATAAATCCTTCCAGCCTGTTTGATCATCTCCCATCTCCCATCTCCCAACACCCGAAACAGTAGCTCGACATCTATGTGCCTCTATTATGCTACTTTATACAACAAAGACCGGGAACGATTATCTAAAAAGAAAAGAGAAAAAGACTCTATTGATGAGGTGCCATTCCGAGGGAGTTGTTTCCTCCGTTGAATGCGACGAATTGAGACTTGAACATAATGTCACCGTAAATTTGAAGGTTGGAAGTAGTGGCTTGAAGACCTCCGAAACAGGCTGTGAGGAATTAATGTTAGCATATTGTTCATGAAGAAAGAAGATCAGGTCATAACTTACTGGTACCAGTGTTATCAACAGGAGCATAGTTGATATCAGAACCACGGACAGTAGCCATGTAGGTTCCTCCAACATCGATGGCCAAATCTGGTAAAGTGGCAGCGCAAGGGAATGTGACGCCACCGACTGTTTGGTTGTTGACAGCACCTTGAACCTTGCTATAGTAACCGTTGACAATGTTGGCATCAGCCAACATGAGAGTGGTTCCGGTATCAGCGATAGCTTGTCCGTTTGGTACAGCGGTCTCGGGACCTCCTCCAACGGAGAATTTGCCGGAGCTGAATTGCCAGAATCCTTGACTGGTGTTAACAGCAGCCCAAGTGAGGGATCCGTTGAATTTGGTAGAATCAATGTTTCCGAATTCGTAAGATCCAGCAGCGGCTTTGCGGAGATCGGCAGTGAAAACTGGCTGAGCGAGACCTTGGGATATGGCGTTATCGAAGAAGGTCTTCTGTTGAGCGGGCTTGACAGTGTTGAGTTTAGAGAATGCGAGACCGACAAGTCCGTTGGATTGGGTGTCGGAGACAAAGGATGCGGAGACTGCGGTGGCCATCTCAATTGCTTGTCCAGTGACAGTGGCTCCTCCAATGTTGACAGTGTCTGTACCAACGTTACCAGCAGCTCCGGATCCATCACCGTATGAGATGGACCAAGTAGCACCTTGAATTGCCTTGAAGCTTGTCGATTTGGAGGCGTCGTAGTTTTGGTGACCAGATTGGGAAGCGGTTGCGAGTTGAGTGCTGAAAACCCAGAGATCAGATGATCCACTATCGAAGTCCATGTTCATGACCTGTCCACCAATGTTGACTGGCGACAAGTACTCAACATCGCCACTCTCTGGTGTGGCAGTAACAAGACCAGTTCCTGCGGCTGCGCTACCACTACCACTTGCGGCTGCGGCTACTGCCGTTGTACTTCCAGTAGCGGCTTTGGAGTTTCCTTCTGGGAAGGCAGGGTTGGCACCTGAGTTCATGGCCGCGACCAATGATGCTGGGAGAGTCATGGAATGCTTGTTGTATGCTTTGATGAGAGCTCTTGTACCGGCACCAGCTGTTCGACCGACATAATTAGGGTTTGCGACTCGCTCGACTTTGAAGCTTCGCTTTTGTGCTGGGTGTGGAGCGGCGAGGACCAAGTTGATGAGTGCGAGGACATAGAATGCTTGAAGTAATGAAGGCATCTTGAATGATTGGTAGAGCCACGCCAGGTGGTTGTATAAAAAGAAAAGGGTGGTTGGCTTGTGTGAATGAAAGACTAATGCTGTTGCTTGAGATAGACCAGACCACAAGAGAAAAGAAGATCGCTGGAAAATATGAACTGAGAAAGAAAAATGGATGCCGGCCCCAATATTATTATGAAGGAAATGTAAATAGATATATGAACGATGACTGGAAATGCAACTATAAAAAAACAAGCCAAGAAACCTGGAGTGTTCCGGGTATGGAGATGGATAGAGATAG